CCGGCTGCGGGGGCAAGATCGCGGACAGGTACTACCTGCTGGCGGTGGACAAGCAGTGGCACCTGCGCTGCCTCAAGTGCTGCGAGTGCAAGCTGGCCCTGGAGTCCGAGCTCACCTGCTTCGCCAAGGACGGCAGCATTTACTGCAAGGAGGACTACTACAGGTGCGCGCCCCCCTGCGCCCGGCCCGGAGCCCCCATTTCCTCGGCTCCCCCCACCTTTCGCCCCGTCGGGGAACGGTTAGGGGACCAGACCAGGAAAGTCCACTGCTGACACCTTCAATCCGCAGCCTTAAGACGGACCGTGAGAATGGGTGTGGCGTGGGTGGGGGGGACCCCCCCTGGGATGTCCAGCGTCCCCGTGACCCCCGCGCTCCCCGGGCCCTCGCAGCGCGTGGAGGGAACCCCGCCGCGAAGTCCGGGTGGAGTAAATGAACGCGTCGCAGTCCTCCCAGACGAAAGCGGGTTTTTTCCGTTTACTACGAACCGGGCAAGGTCCGCGCGCTTTAGTCCCGGGCGCTGCGCTTGGGCGAGGGCGGCGGGGACCTTGTAAACGACCTGGGAAGGCAGGACTTCCCAGCCCGAAGCCAGGCGCCCCGGTTCTCAGTTGCGCCCCTGCTTGGGAGGGGGGGACTCCAAGCTTCCCCGGGGCGCGTGCAGTTATTCCTCCCACCGACGCGCCGGGGACCGGGAAGGGGAGGGTGTGTGCGCGCAGGGATCCCGGAGAGATGCGGTTAGAACAGAATCCGCTGTGGAGCCCGGGAACCGTTTTCACTTGCGTTGCGATTGCATAGCTTTCCCGTTCGTGGCGAGTCAGCGAGTGCAGAGCCTGCTGTTTTATTTTCTTTAAAAAAAAAAACAACACACAAAATCTTGGCCCAACTGGCTCAGGGGTTGAGCATCAACCCAAGGAGGTCACGGTTAATCCCCAGGTCAGGGCGCAGGCCGGGGTTGCAGGCTCCATCCCCAGTGCAGAGCGCGCAGGAGGCAGCCGGTCCGTGATTCTCCCTCATGGATGTTTCTATCTCTTTCTCCCTCTCCCTTTCCCCTCTGAAATGAATAAAAATATTTTTAAAAATCTCCATGTTACAGAGTAGGGAGCTGAGGGTCGGTGGCTCTCTCCCATCATGGATGTTCCTCTCTCTCTCTCTCTCTTCCTCTCTCTCCCCCTCTCCCTCTCTCTCCCCTCTCCCTTCCTGTCTGAAGTCAATAAAAATATATTTTAAAAATCTCCATGTTACAGAGAAAAAAGCTGAGGGTCGGTGGCTCTCTCCCATCATGGAT